TCGCACAGCACCTTGCGCGGCCTTTGCGCGGTTCGCGCGGGGCTGGCGCAGCCTGTGCGCGGCGGTCCCACGGCTCGCGGAGCGCTCGCACGCTCTGCCGGGGCACTGCAGGTCGCCGCTGGCCACCACCCGCCCAGCGGCCAGTGACCACCGGGAGCGCTGACCCAGCGGGGCAGGAGGCAGAGGAAGGGCCGCTGAGGAAGGCTCCATTGACTGTTTTTCTTCTGTCGGCCCCTTATTAAGCCCAGCCTGATGCTGTTCACTTTCAAGCTCACTTTAAAAAAAGCATCCGACAAGACCCTCCGCCGCCTGGTGCCTCGCTGCGCCCTGGGCAGGGTGCTGGGACCCCGCTGGGTGCTCTCACAGCACCGGAGCAGGCGCAGTGGGGGTGGGTGCTCAGGGCGGCCCTTCCTGAAAACGGGACGGCTGGAAAACTCTGTCCCGCCCTGCACCTCCCAATCCCACCCCCAGACCCACAGACCATGCTCCTAATGCTGACCAGGGAGGGGACCAAAAGGGTCAGCAGAAGGATGGAAGGATGATGCGATGGGAAGGACTGCCAGGCTTTAGAAAATGGGCAGACAACTCTACCCCTAAACCTCTGGGCTTCTTGCAATGGTTTCTGGAGCCTCCTGCCTGGAATCCTTTCACACAACCAGTTTCATGGGAAACAGTGAATGGTACGCGGATGGTGAGTGCAGGCTGTGCCCTGGGCCGCCCCAGTCTGTACATTCTCCCACGTGTTGGGGGGTGTGTACCTGCCACACATGAGGAACCCCAGGCTTCACAAAGTTTCCAGCAACTGGAACGGTCACTGCATCTTTTCTGTATATCTTTTAAAAATTAAAATTGCATTGATGCAATGGACAGCCAGGCTGTGCTCCCTGGTTTTTTTTTCCCCCCAATTTTTTCACTCCCAGACCAGTCCTCTTTTCAGCTCCCAGTGTGGGCAGAAGGGCCAAATCCATTCTTGGTGAAAGCCAGCAGGTCTGAGCAATAGGTTCCTCCGTGGATGTTTGCACCACACCATCCTCATCCCCATGGCAGAGCCATGTGCCGCTGGGCGATGAGAGCCAGATCCCTGTCCTCACCATCTGCATGGAGACCCCAACAGAGGCACTCACATACCCACCCAACCCCAAGCAACACGTACACACATGTCTGCACGCACCAGGCACACATGCCCGCTCCAGCTGGCACGTACACACAGGGGTACACAGACCCAAGAAGTGAATCCCGCCTGGCTGTGCCGGAGGGGAGACATGGAATCCCACAGTCCATCCTCTGAACCACACAGCGTCTGTCGAGGTGCACGAGCGCCGAGTTTCCCATCTGTTCTCCATTGCAGCTTCATCTAAACCCTTTTGGGCTTTCTTGAATTTCCATCAGCCCAGCCCAGCCCAGCTGCAGGACCTTCCCAAGCCGCCCCAGCCCTGCACAGCGGCGTGGCAGCTCCTGCCCCCAGCCCTTCCCTGCTCCAAGGATGGGCTCCCTTCTCTCCCAGTGCAAACCTTTTGCACATAATTTCACGCTGGCAAAGAGCCACCTTCTACCAGCCCCCTTCCAAAACCAAATTAGCACGCTGCTGCAGCAGCAGAAATTGGAGAGGAAAGGCTGCAGTTTTATTTTACAACTCAATTAGCAATTTTATACAGAAAAAAACACCCATATAACCAAGGGAGATTTTTTGTCCAGCTTCACAATCAAATAGATTTGTTCTTGAGGGCACTCCCCATTGCTGTAGGTACAGCAATGTGCTCCTGCCCACGATGGCCCTCAACCAACATGGTGACACTGGCTGGGGCCCTCCTCACTTGCTCCATCTCTTTCCTCATACACTTAAAAATCCTCTGGGTACCTCCAGCACGGACTGAAAAACACAGTTCTGAGACTGTCCTGTCACCCTGTTCACTAAGGATAAAACAGATCAGAAGCCTGCAAGAACCTAAGAAAGGCCACATTTGCCTGTAACTTTTCCCTAAGAACCTGTCCTGAATAACATGAAGGCAACAGCTGTATGCCCAGGAGGGATCCCAACTCCCACACCTAAACAGCTCACACCATGTCCCACCATGGCCTCTCCCTTCCTTCACCAATAAGCCCTTCTGGGTGGGTTTTTGGAAAGAAGTGGGCAGTTGGCCCACTAAGTCTGTTTTTTCACTGGGAACATTTTTGGGATGCTGATTCTTTCAGGATCTGGAAGGAATCGTCCCTGACTGGCTGTCACCTGGGCTTGTCCCCTACGTTGCAGTCTCCCTCCCTCTGCTCCCTCTCTTGGTCCGCAGCACTGCCCTGCTTGCCCTCCTGCGTTGTGCATGGTGGCTCAGGACATTTGTGTGTGGAGCACTGATTCATTCCCATGCATGGGGTTGAGTCCTGGGCAGGGTGGACTCTCCTACCACAACCAAATCCTCTTTTGCAACTGTGGGCAAGTCCCAGCCTGGGACTATTGCCTGCCAGAGAGGGGCTGCCCCACAGATGCTCTTCGGAAAAGAAAAGAAGGGAGTATTTGATTTAAGTAGAAGCCCACCAGCTGTGGAAGACCACTTCTCAAAGGAGGAAACTGAGGCAGAAAGGAAATCCTCAAGCAATAATCATGTACCTGGTGTCATAGCCATGTTCCCACAGCTCTGCACCTCCACCTTCCCTGTCATCTGCATATTTTGATGGGGTAAAAATAAACGGCAATTACAAACCTGCTCCATGCTTAGAACTGTTTGTGGCTGTTTCCATTAGCTATGCCGGTGGGGCTCAACCAAATTTGCAAGTCTTGAGCAAGTTCAGCGCTGTCAGAGTATTGATGCTAGTGGTTATTTGGAAGAATATGTTCTCATGTAGTGACCACACAAGAAGCCTCTGGTGGCTTCACTTAAGAAATATCTTCTAGCAAGATGGCTAAAAGTGACGGCAAGGCCAGCTCAGCAAGTAACCAAGCAACAGCATCATTTTCTTTCCAGATCTTCCAGCAGCTCCTTCCAAAACTTACTTAACTGAAGCCAAGCTGAATTCTTCCTGCTTGCCTGCATGAGGATAGCCAGGAAAGATAAGAAAAATCAAGGTACAAGGTCCTTGCATGAAACATCAGATGGACTCAAAGACCCCGGAGGGCTGCTTTCCTTCAGGCCCAGAGACCTTACGTCACCATAATCTGGATGTCTAAAGCTAGGCTTGTTTCACATCACTTTCTATTTGAATACTCTAGTTAAGGGACAGAAGACTTACAGCTTTGCTGAGAGTTCAATCCTTACAGAAACACAAGCTTCTTGGATTAGACTTTCTATTCCCCTCAAGGAAAATTGTCCTATTCAGCATCTGGTTGACAGGGTCTGGCACAAGCCACCTGAAGATAGCAAGTCAAGACACAGTTGAGAACCTAGTTTGGTATTTTTTTTTTAAAAAAGCCCGTTTGATTTTTGAAAAGTGCAGAGTCAGCAGGTAATTTGTCAACGCACCAAGGCACAGATTCAGAGCTGGGGCGGTGACTCAGCCCAAGTGTCCTTACAGTGGTAGTCCAGGCTAGCATCTGGTTGGAAGGGGTGGGATTCAACTTGCTTCATTTTGGCTTCTTTCTCAGTCTAACTAATCCTCTTCCTCCCTTTAATAGTTACTGGAGGGAGAGCCGTACCTCCAGAAGGGGACTCTTACAGCATTAACCAAAGACCCCAGCTAAGAGCTGCTACAGAGGTTTTGGTCTTCCTGTGCAGAAAGACCTCAGCTGCCTCCCTACCCCTGGCTGTCCATGTGAGATGTCACCATGGGAAGTGTTGTCCTACAGCTCTTCTCAAGCTGTGCTTCATGCTTCCTTATTTTTACATATTTCACCCTTTGACCTTCACTCGGTCCTTTTTTCTCTCATCTGTCTCTCAGATTATTATGTTTCTCCCCAGATTCTCATTCTCTAGCTCTCGGTCCCTTTGTGAAGGCTCCTTAGACCTGGGGCCATCAGCCAGCCCCAAAGGGGAGACCTGGCTTGGGAGGTGTCTGCCAGCAGGCACCCACCCAAACGAGCGTCAGAAAGGGAACATTGCACACAGTACTTTCATCCCGATCTTCCCAGTTCCCAGCTGTTCCCAGGACAGCCCTTCTCTGCCCCCTCCCCATCCCTCCCCAGCCAGCACTGCTAATGGCTGTTGTGTCATTCTTGCTTCTCTACTTGAGACACAGAATGTCACCATACCAAAACCAAGACCTTTGCTCTATATCCCAATGCAAAATCTGACCAATAATCCCAGTTATGGCTCACTCCTAACTTTCTGGACACAGGTGTTCACTGCTATGAACATGGGAGGAAGGGGGGTGTGTGGTGTGTATTTTTTCACCTTTAGGTTATCTTGCCATCCTTTGGTATTATTTCTTGTCAAACAGCTGCTTTTGCTCTCTCATTCACTTCAGTGCTGGTAATCCCATGCTTTTATTTTCTGCTGTGGATCAGCCAAGTGGAGCTAAACTCTGAAGTCCTTAAGGTCAGCCCAGTAGTTCTCCACAGTGACAGGGGTCTGACAAAGAAAGTCCTGTCCCCAAGAACTGACTTCCCTCCCTTTTGGGAACATCACCTTGAGAAGGAATGAACAGGTGAATCCATCCTACCTAAGTGCAGCTAGCAACTCACGGTACCTAGTTGAAGGTGTCAGCTTTGGTCTTCTTGACAGTTACTCTGGGAAGACCAATGAGCCACAGGGGTCCGCTGATGCATGCAGAGGGCCAGAGCAGACCTGCCACCCCCTCTGCTCCAGTCTTGCCTTCCTCCCTTCATTCCTCTGCGCCTGCTGCTGTGCTGTGAGGAGGAGAAGGTGTGGAGGAAGGTGGGCGTTTGGGTGCGGAAAAGGATGTGGTCCAAAGTCCCATTTCCTTGCAACGTTCCATGGTCCTGATCACTTCTCTCAAAGGCAACATCTCTCTGATGTTCTTGCCAGGACAGTATATCCTTCCATGACGGAGGGGATGTGGGTTCTCTGGGCACTTAGGAGAGATTCCTCCCACTGAAAGGCCCCACAGAGATCAGAACAGACCAGGGGTCAAACTGAGCAGCTCATAAATTTCTCACCATCACTGTATCTTCTGGCCTCCTGTCCAGTTCTGCATTTTAACCCCACAGTTTCTGCTTTCCTTTTCCATCTTGCCTTTTCCAACTTTAATTTGTAGGCATTGAATACCCTGGGCCTCTTTCTCCTTCAGCTGTTGAGCAGCATACGAAGGTGATAGGAGAAACC